AAAACCTTATTTCCAAATAAAATCATATTGTGAGGTACTGAGGGGTGGAACTTAAATATACCTTTTTGGGGGAACATAATTCAACCCATAACAACCTGAAACCATTATGATCCAAAGGAACAAAAATTAGTTGTAGTTTAAATGTATCCAGAGGATATGAAACTAAGTACGTCCAGAGTCACATGGTCTGGTCTTTTACACAACTCACTTTTGGAACACTAAACTTGTGATTTTTAGAAAATCTAAAATATAAAAATACAAACCTAAATAAATCTAAATAAGTAACCCCTAGTGTTCACGTTTTAGTCAAAGCATTCTGTTCCAAATTGCTTTATCTGCTTTTTAAACAACTTAATTATTTTAATTTAAATGTATTGAGGTACATTGGTTAATGAGTATACAGGTTTCGAATGTACATTTGTATGATATATGTTCAGTATATTGCATTATGTTCCCACCACTCAAAGTCCCATCATCTTCTGTCACCATATATTTTGTCCCCTTTACTCTTTACTATACCACCACCCCTTCCCTCTGGAAACAACCATACTGTTGTCTGTGTCTATGAGATTCAGTTTTATATCCCACATATGAGTGAAATCATATGGTTCTTAGCTTTTTCAGACTGACTTGTTTTACTTAGCATGATACATTAATGTCCATCCATGTTGTCACAAATGGCAGTATTTTATCTTATGGCTGGGTTGTATTCCATGGTATAAATGTACCACATCTTTTTTATCCATTCATCTATCAAAAGACACTGGTGGCATCCATGTCTTGGTTACCCTGAATAACACTGCAGTAAGCATAGGGGTGCACATATCATTGCAAATAAATGGTTCCAAATTTTGGAGGTGGATATCTAGAAGAGGTATTGCTGGTTCATATGGTAACTCTATACTTAATTTTTTTGAGTGGCCTTGGTATTTTTTCCATAGTTCTTATACCGGTTTACATTCCCACCAGTAGTGAGAGTTCCTTTTTCTTCACAACCTCTCCAACACTTGTTATTAACTTGTCTAGATGATAATAATCTTTCTAACAGGTGTGAGGTGGTACCTAATTGTAGTTTTGATTTGTGTGTCCCTAATAGCTGGTAAAGATGAGCATCATTCCATATATCTCTTGGCCATTGTAGATCTTCTTGGGTGAAGTCTGTTCAGGCCTTCTGCCCATTTTTTTTTTCCATTGAATTGATTGCTTGGTGTTGAGTTGTATATCTTCTTTGTGTATTTTGGATGTAAACCTCTTGGAGCTATTGTTTGCAAATAGCATTTTCCATTTCATAGGTTGCCTTTTTGTTTTGTTGGCAGTTTCTTGCCTGCTGTGCAGAGGCTTTTGAGTTTGATATAGTCTCATTCATTTATTTTTGACATTACTTCCCTTGAATTTGGGGTCAAACTCAAAATCTTCTCTAACACCAAGGTCCATGAGTTTAGCTGTGTTTCCTTCTATGTAGTTTATTGTTTTGGATCTTATATTTAGGTATTTTATCCATTTTGAATTAATCTTTGAACATAGGGACAAACTAGTGTAATTTCATTTTTTTGCATGTGGCTTTTCAATTTTTCTAGTACCATTTATTGAAGAGGCTTTCTTTTCTCCATGGTTTGTGTTTCGCTCCTTTGTCAAAAATTATTTGCCCATATACACGTGGTTTTATTTCTAGGCTCTCGCTTCTGTGTCATTGGTTTGTATGTCTGTTTTTCTGCCAATACCAGGATGTTTTTTTTTAAATTATTGTTGTTTAGTTACAGTTTTCCCCATTGTTCCCCCATGACTCTCCCCTCCCCTACTCACCCCCACCCCCACCTCCCACATTCAATTCTTCCTTCTCCATTGTCTTTGTCCACCGGTCCTTTATACACATGTTCCTTGACTTGATTCTTCCCTTTCTTTCCCCAGTTATCGTGCTCCCCCCACTTCTGTGGTCACTGTCAGTTTGTTCTTTATTTCCATGTCTCTGATTCTATTTTGCTTATTTGTTTGTTTTGTTGATTAGGGTCCATTTATAGATGAGATCATATGGTATTTGTCTCACTGCCTGGCTTATTTCACTTAGCATAATACTCAGCACTCTCCAGTTCCATCCATGCTGTCAGAAAAGATAGGAGTTCCTTCTTTCTTTGTGCTGAATAGCATTCTCTTGTGTATATATACCACAGTTTTCTTGATCTACTCATTTACTGATTGGTGCTTAGGCTGTTTTCAGCACTTGGTTATTATAAGTAATGTTGCTGTGAATATTAGGGCTATAATAAATTAAAAAGCTTCTGCATGACTAAAGAAAACACCAGCAAAATGAAAAGGGAACCAACTGTATGGGAAAGTATATTTGCCAATGATACCTCGGACAAGGATTTGAGCTTCAAAATATATAAAGAACTCATATGACTCCATACCAGGAAGACAATCCATTAAAAAAAATGGGCAAAGGTCCTGAACAGACACTTCTCTAAGAGGAATATACGGAGCGCCCAGAGACATATGAAAGGATGCTCAGCATCAGGAGCCATCAGAGAGATGCAAATGAAAACCGCATTGCTGCTTTGATTATTGTTGCTGTATAGCATAATTTGAAGCCAGGGAGTGTGATACCTCTGGCTTTGTTCTTTTTTCTCAAGATTGCTTTGGCTATTTGGGGTCTTTGGGGTTTTCATACAAATTTGATGATTTTTTTTGGTTTTATTTCTTAAAAAAATGATGTTGAGATTTTGATGGGGATTACATTAAATATGTGTATTCCTTTTGGTAATATGGACATTTTAACTACGTTGATTCTTCTAATCTATGAACACAGAATATCTTTCTATTTCATTGTGTCTTTTTTTATCTTTTAAAAAAATTTTAATTAATTTTATTTAGTTATTTTTCAAGTACAGTTTTTTGTCTATTTTTCCCATCCCATCCTCCCCCGCCCCTTGTGTCTTTTTAATCTCCTTAATAATGCTTCATAGTTTTTAGTATACCAGTTCTTCACATCCTTTGTTAAGTTTATTTTGAGGTATTTTATTCTTTTTGTTGCAATTGCAAAAGGAATTGTTTTTTTTCCCATTTCTTTTTCTGAAATTTCATTGTTAGTATATAGGGATGTGGTGGATTTTTGTGCATGGATTTTTGTATTCTGCAACTTACTGTATTTGTTTATTGTTTCTAATAGTTTTGTGTATGTGTTTGTGAAGTCTTTAGGATTTTTTATATAAATAATTATGTCATCTGCAGAAAGTGACAGTGTTACTTCTTCCTTCCCAATTTGGATGCCTTTTATTTCTGTCTCTTACCTGTGCTCCGGCTGGGACTTCCAGAACTGTGCTGAAGAAGGGTGAGACTGGGCATCCTTGCTTGCTCCTGATTTTAAAGGAAAAGCTTTCAATGTTTCACCACTGAGAATGATATTAACTGTGGGTTTCTAATATATGGCCTTTATTATGTTGAGGTACTTTCCTGGTATGGCTATTCTGTTGAGTGTTTCCATCATTAATGGATGTTGCTTGATCTGTTTGTATTATATTGCAGAAATTTTTAACACAATTATATTCAACAAACTGTTTTAAAATGCATAATGAAATTGCACCTAATCAGGAGCAGTTATTGAGCAAGCATTAGTAAATCCTACATTCCCCAAAGAAATAAGCACATAGTAGAATGAGCCATGTCCTTAAGGGGCCGATAGCACAATGAAGCAGACAAGGCTTCCCACATACACATACAGACACACATACAGGTTGCTCACAATAAAGGAAAAATTCATTTTACATATTTTTTATCTCAACTTCTGTGTGTATTTTAATGTTTCCTCTCATTTTGAACTTATTGAAAATTCAGTTTCTATCTATAATTTTAATTGTAATATCATGTTTTTTATTGGTAAATAATATTGGTAAATAATATTGGTAAATACTGCCTCTATCAAAATCATACAAAATCATTTGAAATCAGCCTCATGAGATTGTGGTTGTTTTCACTAAGAAAGATTTTTAAAAAGGTAAAACACTACATAGAGCATTTTAATTAATATTAGCTATTATTATTAACTATATCTGCTGAATATATAGCCAAAATCACTAGTCATTTAGGCCCTTTGCCAGCAGTACTGATATTTTTGTGGTCAACTATGTAGACCTCCCCCTTTAGTGTTAAGTACTTTACAAAAAATTTATTCCTAAATGTTTCTTATAAGGAGCCCTACAACATTGTTATTTTTAAGATAAGCAGGAACCATAATTCCAGAGAATTTTAAATACTTAATGAAAACATATGGTTCTTAAAATATATATATTCATATATATATTCTTTTAGTTGGGAAAGACCCTCAAAAATGTGCCATTTGGTTTCAATGAGAGAAGAGTCTAAAAAACATTGCTTTGATGAATACCTCTAAATCTTAATTTTCTCCTCTTTAACATTGATATTAATACCTACTTCCAGGAGTGCTTGAGCTTGAGTGTATGTAAGTTCCTTTATGTTGTTTCTGGCATGTAATAGATGCTCAACAAAAGTGACTGCCAGTTCCTGGCTCCTTCTGTAGCCTCCTATGACCTCAATTCCTTGGTGAAATTGGACACTTTTCTGGGAAAAAAAAAACATACAATGAAATGGAAAAATGCCATGCATTTCTTCTATAACTTAACTTTAAATTGGAAAAAAAAGAACAATGGAATTTTTGAAAAAGTAGAAAATGAAATAGATGGTTCCTTCCCCTCTGTTTGTACATGAGCAGCTTCAAGAGGCCAGGTTTTCTCTTGTTAGAATACTCCTTCTGGCAGAACCTTCTAGAAAGCTTCAGTCTGGTGAAGAGAAGGACACCAGCTTTCCACTCGCATGGTGTTGCCTGCCCAGAGAGAGGGCTGAGTTCAGCCTGTATAATCCGATTTCATCAACTCACACTAATCACTACTGATAGTAGCAGAATTTAGCCTGGATCTGCTTAGTTAATCTGGATTGACAGGAGGTAAAAGAATCAGGATGCAAGGACACAGAAACAAAGGAAAGAGAGCGAACTCTGATTTCCAGCCCTGCTCTTCTTCTATCTGGGGCATCTAATTTGCTCCCCTCTGGGACTTCTATTTTTCTTACCATATAAACAAAGGCAACTGGTTGTTAGGAGACCAGACGTGCATGCAGCACTTCCATCAACAACAGGTGCCCTGTGACTCCCCGGAGAGCAATGCCTCCGGGGTGAGGCTGCGCAGAAGGTACTTCCAGGTACACATTGTACCTGAGACTATGTATTATTTATTGAAACTGAGCTCTGCATTCTCTTTATCTTCTGGGCAGCCCTGGAGTTGGGCACCTCCTAAGATGGATGCCAGCGGCTAACCCATAAGGCTCCTCAAAGCTACTTGCTTTCACTCTTTTTCTTACCAAAAAAATTGTAAGCTACCACCACCGAGCTTTTTATTAAAGCTTGGAGAGTAATTGGGAATGGCAGTTGAGCAACAGAAAGAGGGATTCCTCTGTGATTTTTGGATGTTTCCACATGGATTCAAGTTTTGGATTTTTTAGGGAAATACTCCACTTTGGATTTTACAGATCTGTAAAAGATACACAGGCTGCAGCTTCTGCCTCCGTTCACTGACTGATTATCATAGTGCTCTGTGATGTGTGTGTTCGCATGCTTCGTACTGAGAAGAAAAATGGGCTATCTGAAGGTTATCTTCACCGTTACTTATGATATCTGTGACTGGCCAACAAGGGAATTTTTTGCATTTGGGTAACAAAGCCATTTGGAATAAATATTCCACCGGATTGTCCATGTTGGCACAGCTGTTGTTGGCCACCTCAGTACTGCAGGTTGCCATGCCAAAATCTCCTAAGGGCAAAAATGTGTCCTGGGTAAGTAGATGATGATTTTCTCTCTCCTCGAAATATTGTTTAAGCAGAAACCTGTAATTTGGGAACCTAAAGGCATCTAGGGGTTTCATGTTAATAGAGACATTTGGGACAACTTCAGAAAGTATTGCCTTAGAAAAGCAGATGAATATTTTTATATGTGTTAGAAATCCTTTGGCAAAAGTGTGGTGGTGCTTTCTAAAATGTGAACTGTAAGACATGGAAACTGTAGATTAGTTCTGCCATTATTAAGTTGCTTCATATTTGTATCCTAGGCAGAATTTGAAATGCATTAATACAAAGTTATGGTTGTAACATGTTTTTAACTGCAGAACTTTGGTATTCAATAAAAATAGTATAGATTTATTTTTGGTGTATTAAGTAAAATGTCAAGGATAGAATGAGCAAAATTTTTATTTGAGAATATTGTTGATATGTTCCTCCATTTTTAGAAACAAGATAGTGATAGTTATCTCTCAATGTTACATGTCTAATTAATTTATGTCCATAATGGCCACGTACAGTTCACTTTAACATTCTAAAAATAACAATGCCATGTTAACCCTAATCAAATTTGATTCTTTAATGTTGTTTCAAGTTAGTTTTCTACCAAGAACAGAAAGATTAGTTTGAGCTCAAAATGATGAGAACAATCTGTAGACGTTTAAAGAAACAAGTGCTTTAGCTCCCTGCTATCAAGTTCAGTGAACTTAGTCCACTAAAATTAATAGGTAAATGGAGTCCCTTCTACCCTCCATCTAAAAGCTGAGTCTCTAACACTGATGTTTTAGCCAGCATCTACATCTGTAACCCAACTGTACTAATCACAGAACTTTTTCTTAGGTTACAATTACGGTTTTCCAAAGTTAACAGGGAAAATAGATGTGTCCATATTTTCTGTCCAGAAATAATTTTTACTACTTTAATTTGAAATTCACGAATTAGATTATTCTTACTTTATATCAAATGTCACGATATTTATCTGAAGATGATGATTGTGATTTTTTCTGTTATAGACAATTTATTCCGTATAGTACCAAATTAAGAGATGCATCTTAGTTTAAGCACAATTCTCAGAATTAGTTCCAAAAATTGGGGAAAAATTTGAGTTATTCATTATTAAAAATTAATATATTCTAATCTCCTTGGTATTGCTATTATTGATTTTTCATCCCTTCCTGGAAAAGAGACCCTTGGCCTCCACAGTTTCTTCCCTCCCTGTGCAGATGGTTGTGGCAGCTAATTCAGATGCCCAAGTGGGTGTCTGCCACTTTCTCCCAGTACATAAACACTGCAGAAAGGAGTAGGTTCAGAAGTATATGCCCTCCTGTGTCTGATTAATCCTCCTAAAAGATTAGCTGTTTTAAAGCAGCGTCTGCCTAATAGAATGTTTCTGCCATGAGGGCAAAACTTGAAACAATTCCTTATAAGCTTCAACTACCACTGGATTTGGTTTACTTCAGACTCCATTATTCTAACTTTTAAAAAAGATTTTGTTTATTCTAGTTCTTTTTGTTTATCCTAATACTTTAAAGGTCAAGTTGTTGGCTAAAAAATTAGAACTGGTTGTTTAACAGAGTCAGAATACTTGTATTTTCTTAGGTTAAAATGTTTTCTGTATATTCCATTTTCTTACAAATATCTCTGTGCCTGAGTTTGTCAAAAGCAATGTTTATGAGTTTAATTAGTGTTGCATTAGAGGGAGAACATTAATTTGGTTGGTGTGTGCTGGGGAATGAATCAATAAAAATGTTCATTAATATTTTAAAATGCCTTATTGAATATAAGGTGTAGGGAGACACTTTTAAATGTTCATCATCACTTCAGTTTTAATCAGCTGTGGTTGTTTTATACATTGCTGACATCCCTCTGACTTCCCTATGTGGAGTGAAACATATCTGGTATTCTAATTTTTAGTTAAACATTCATTTAGACTTTGTTCAAAATCGACCCATCTCATCTCAAACCACATAGTGAATCTCACAGTGGAGAGAGGAGTTTTTATATTTTTCTATCCCCGATTCTTCTAAAGTATTTCTTAGACACACTTTGTCCAATATGATAAACATAAATGTATATTGCTGAACAGCATAAGCTCAGAGTGAAGCACCACCTGTATTTTCCTGGTGAAACTATGGCACATGTGTGGGAGTGGGGTATTTGGGCAACTGCTTAAACCCCTCCTGAGGGTTTTTATGACCGAAATGAACAAGAGGAGAGTAACTACCTATTCCTCTAGATGAAGTGAGGATTCAAGTCATCTTGCTATAAGGATTCAACAATCATTCAACAAGTGTTTATTGAGTGCTTCTTCTATGATATTCTTGGCACTGAGGAAACATCAAAGAGTAAGATGCTTGAAAATCCCCATTCTCACAGAACTCACATTCTAGTGGAAGGAGACAGACAAAAAGCAAATGATATTTCAGATAGTGAATACAATAAAGGAGGGATGCGGTTAGGAAGTGCCAGTAATTGAGAAGGGGGTGTTGCAAATTGGTTGGTCAAGCTATATGAGCAAAAGACCTGAAGAAGGTAACAGAGGTAGCCATGGTGAAATGTAAGAATCGAGAACATCCCCAGGCAAAGGAATGTTCAGGTGCCAAGTCCTAAGGCAGAAGTATGACTAGAGGGTGTGAGGAATGGCAAGAGGGCCAGGGTGGCTGGACTGTAGTGACATTCTTGGAATTTCCTGTATGTCTTCGCCTGTCATTGGTTCTTTTTTCATTGCGCATTCCAAGGTACACCCAATGCCTCTCTCCAGTCAAATCTCCAGAGAATAGCGGCTTGTAGAGGAGTCATCATAGGGCAGCGCACACTGGCAGGTGCCAAATGAGGTTGCGGACAGCAGCGGGGAGCCAGAGAGAACTAGTCATCATGATGCATTCGCGCTTTACAGATGACCCTGCCGGAGTCAAGAAATTTATTTTCAGTGGTTGAAGCAGTGTTGCAATGTGCATGATGCTGTTTTTGAAGGAACAGAAATTAGAATAAAATTTAAATTAATCTTCAAGGTAGTATTGAGAAAGAGGGTTTGGGAGTGAGGATCTAGATTTATGGAACAGAGTTCTTCAAACAGTAACTTTTACTTTTTGTTAGGATAGATTAAATACACAATATGAAACCTCACTTTGGAATCTCTGTACAAGGGTGGGCAAAAGTAGGTTTACAGCTGTTCATGTGGAAAATAATACCACATTAATAAATAATAATATAATAATAAACTCTGTGTTTCACGTACTCACAACTGTAGGCCTACTTTTGCCCACCCCGTATATTTTTTGCCTGTAAATACCTCTTCCAGAAGTGTGGTTTTGAGACATAGTCCTGAGGGCATTTGTTCATAGAAGCTGTATAGATCCCTGAAGTCTGTAAATGTGACCTCATGCCAGAATGACCTACTTTATTGAAAAGTCACTTTGCCCGGAAATATAAGATTAACAGGTCCCACTTGGGAACCTGTCCTGTGCAAACTCCCTTGCTGTTCTTTTAATTCTCAAGCTCTGAAGTCAGTCATAAAGAACTTTCTGGTATTTCAACTTTATGGATATATATATATTCACACACATATGTGTGTGTGTATATACATATATAAATTGTTATTCATGTACAGTATGTTTTATTAGCTGCTTTCCATTTCTTCAATCAGGAGCTATAACCGCTGGCCAGGTGCCTTCGTTAGTGTACCATCCCAATAGACCAAAGCTGGACATGCACAAGAATCTACTGCATTTTTGCTGTGTATAATGCACGCCCATGCTTTTGTGCACAGTATATGGGATTATTATGCACGTTATTATACCCATGGCATGTAATCATTATACCCGCGTACAATGCATATTCTTGTTTTTCCCTCAAAAATTTGGGCAAAAGGTACACATTATATGTGGCAAAATGTGGTCAATACACGGAACAACAGATTGATGTTTTTCTCTTTCTCTCTCACCATCTCACTCCCCCCTTCTTCTCTCTCTCTGTCTCAGATCAATTAAAAAAACTAAGAACATTTAAGAAAATGAAGGGAAGCTATAAAGAACATGAGTGCATACATTTACATAACACGGACTGCTAGAGATTAACAACTCAGAACTCTGGAGTCTGCTTTCTATTACTTGAAAGAGATACTCCTATTAAATCATTAAGTGTATGCATATTTTTATATTATAAAATAAATATTACTGGAAATTGGCTAAAAGACTAACATGAACATTACACACACTCCGTGTAGGATGGGATGCTTGACGTGGGCACCAAGAGGACAGGTGTCCTCCAGGGAGGAACCCTGCACCTTTGTTGGTCACATGACTCTGTATGCTTCATCTCACTTCCATATAGATGTCTCTTTCAAATTGTCAAGAATCCCTATTCTTGTTTTCCTTTTTAACCTCTCTGATCACTTAGATATGTGTCAGTCTTGATGAGTCTAAAGCTGAATGATTTCAGTTGTGACTTTGTCAGATATTTACCCCTTGTTGGTTTTGCCCATTTTTCCATCTAGATGACTAGTCTTTTAGACCATAAGTTTCTGAAAATGTTCACTTTTATATTTTCCTTTCTGTGCTCTAACCATACACCACAGATGCCAGCAGTATTTCCCTGGCATTATTTACTCTCCTTTCTTTACATTAGAGATACATTAGGGATACATTAGGGATACATTAGAAGGTTTACTAAACTTATTGAAAACACCTGTGTGGGTTTTCATTTTTTCAACTTACAATTGACAGGGAATCAGTGTGTGTCTGGTGGTTCAGATAAATTGTTTACTTATGCTCAGAGCTGCTAAGATTCTTCCAGCAACTCACACGTGGAGACAGTTTTTTCTTCTTCCACTAAATATTTTTTCACTAAATAAATGGACTCTATATCTAGATTGGGAAACCTGAGAAATTGTACCAGGTGGCTCTAGTACATATGGACGTGGGGTATTTTATAAAGTCAGCTGTAAAACATTAAGAAGTATCTACTTGTATGAGGACTTCCATTGTTATTTTTAATTTTTA